GAAGCCGGCCGCCGGCCACCGCCGCTGCCAGCCGGTCGGATCGCGTCGTGATGGATTGTCCATCGATTTGCAATGGGAGCTTTCGTTTGCGTCGGACTGCAACACAAATGTGCAACGTTATCCCTCTGCTCCCGCGCTCTGCCCCCCGCCCCCCCCCCCCGCCCCCGCCTTAAAAAAAAAAGTACGATAAAAAAAGGACCCCAGAAAACTTAGCGTGTCTATGTGCAAATTGCATCTTAAGCATCGCGTTTCCTGGCCCTTAAACCTAATTCTCACCTTGTGCCGCAGGTCCCTGATCAGCCGGATGAAATGAATCCCCGGGAACACGTTGCCATGGAAGCGTGTGACTCCCCCAGCGTCTCGGGGCACGAGGATGGGCTGGCCCGCTTCCCTCGCTGTTGTACGAGCAGACGGCCGTGCTCGCCGCCGAAGCCCTGGAGGCCTCCTCGTCCCCCCTCTCAGAGGCTCGTGCCGCCGGCAGCGAGGACCAGCGGCTGAGCGATTCCCTCGCTGCTCCGCGGCCTCGCCGCGCCCTGCCCCGGCTCCGGGCCCCTACCCGACGCGGACCGCCGCTGCTTCTTCCACCTTTGTTTCCTCTGCCAAAGATATCCGCTGTAAGCAATGCTCCACCTCATTCCCGATTTTACAGTCGTACATGGAGCACCACTGCCCCGGCGCGTTTCCCCCCTGCTGCGCGACGAGGAGAGCGAGGCGAGCGAGGCGAGCGAGGACGACAGCGACGTGGAGAACCTGACGGGTGACATCGTCTACCACCCCCGACGGCTCGGCCTACATCGTCGAGAAGGACAAGGAGCTCTGCAAGGGGGGGGAGGGCGGCGGCGGTGCCGGCGCGTTCCAACAAGCTTTAAACGTGAACTCGAAGGCCAGAGACTCGGCGCACCCGCAGATCGTGAGCACCTTTCACATCGCGTCGTCGCTGGCGCGGCGGTTCAGCGTGGACCAGGCGACGTTCCCAAATACCTCAGTGCTGGTGCCGGGGCTCGGCCCGTTGCTGCACAGCTTCCGCGTCTTCGACGTCCGGCACAAGGACGGAGCGGACGAGTATCTCAACAGCGACGGCTCAGCCAAAAACTCCTGCACAGCCAAAGATGTTCCCACCACCTCCGTAGACCTCACCAAATTCGACGGCTGCGCCCTGTACAGCAAGCGGAAGCCCATCCTCATGTGCTTCCTGTGCAAGCTGTCCTTCGGCTACGTGCGCTCCTTCGCGACGCACGCCGCCCACGACCACCAAATGACGCTCATCGACGAGGAGCGGAGGCCTGCTTGCCAGCAAGAACGTGTCGGCCATCATCCAGGGCATAGGCAAGGACAGGGAGCCCCTGATCAGCTTTCTAGAACCAAAACTGCAAGCTTTCAACAGGCGAGCTATAACCTCAACGGCAAACCTCGAAGGTCCAAGACCAAATTTTACGGCGTGTTCAGCGGCGTCCACGTTGCCCGGCATGAGGGCTGCAGGCCGGCCAGTGCTTGCGAAGGGAAGTGGTAAGTGCATCCAAAGATGACGGAGCAGACCGCCCCTCCTGCGAAGCAGCAGTGGGGGTCGAACGCTCTGATGAACCTTGGGGGTTTGGTCAAATTCTCGCAGGGCCAAACCGCTCCCTCGGCGTCGCTGGGGCAGCTGGGTGGCGCCGACGCTGTCGCCGGGGAGGAGGGGCGAGGAGAAGCCCGCCGACGGGCCCGCGGCGGCGGCGGTGGCAGCCAAAGTCCCCATCAAGTCCGAGCCCGCGGACGTGGAGGAAGAAGAATTCGGCGACGAGCTCTACGCCAACGAGTTTGACGAGGACGACGGCGACGACGACAGCGGCGACGGCGCTCGCCTCGGGCTGTGGGACAGCGCGAGCAGCAATGACTCTCGAGTTTACAAACCAAAGCATTTCTCAAACTTCTTTCCTGCCTCAAGCGCTCAACTCCTCTCCAAAGGGTCCCTCGTTTAATTCCTTATCGATTCTCTCCGATAACGCCGCGGGCAGCTCGGAGCTGAACGCGGACTACGCCGCTCAAAAGCGCGTCGAATTCTCCGATGGCAAGGACGACGGGTTTGCCCGACGGTGCCCTGAGAGACGCCGACGGTGACCAGGGCGAGGTGGCCACGGCCGTCGAGATGGCACTGTGTCGGCCTCACCGGATGCTGGGGTCGACGCCGCCCTGCCTGGCGAGGGAGGGCGACTACACCCCAGAGAGCGACCGCGAGTCGCCGAAATGCGACTTCCTCCTGAGCCACACGGCGCTCGCGCTCGGGGGGCACCTTTCGGCGGCCATGCAGTCGCGCAACTCCTGCAAGACGCTCAAGTGCCCCAAGTGCAACTGGCACTACAAGTACCAGCAGACGCTAGAGGCCCACATGAAGGAGAAGCACCCCGAGCCGGGCGACGTTTGCAACTTCTGCACGTCGGGGCAGGCGCACCCGCGGCTGGCGCGCGGCGAGAGCTACACGTGCGGCTACAAGCCCTTCCGCTGCGACGTCTGCAACTACTCCACCACCACCAAGGGCAACCTGAGCATCCACATGCAGTCCGACAAGCACCTCAACAACATGCAGAGCCTGCAGAACGGCGGGCCCGTCTCGGCCGACCAGGCCGCGTACGGGCACCACCTGCCAAGCACGGCGCCGGGCGGCCTGGGCCTCGGCCTGGGCGTCGGCGGCGGAGTCGGCGGAGGGGCGGCAACAACGGGATCGGCGCGGGCCCCCGTCGGCGGCGGCCGGCGGCGGCGGCGGCGGCGCCCAAGGCCCGGCCGCAGCAGCAGAAGCCAGTGTGGCGTTGCGAGGTGTGCGACTACGAGACGAACGTGGCGCGCAACCTCCGCATCCACATGACGAGCGAGAAGCACGCGCACAACCTGCTGCTGCTGCAGCAGAGCATGAAGACGCTGCAGCACCACCACCACCACCAGCAGCAGCAACAACAGCAGCAACAGCAGCAGCAGCAGCAGCACGGGCTGCAGCAGCTGGGGCTGGCGGGGCTGGCGAGCGGCATGCTGAGCACGCCCACGGAGGCGGAGCTCTAACCAGTACTACCTGGCGGCGGCGGTGGCGGCGGCGTCGCACGGGGCTGGTGTCCCCGAGCGCCTCAAGCTGGAGGGGGGGCTAAGCGACGAGCAGCAGCAGCAGCTGCTGCTCTCCCGGCTTCCAGATCGACCCCAACTCGACGGGCAGCTCCCTCAACGCCCGCCGCTGGGTACGGACGGCGGTCGCGAGCACCGTCCACGAACCAAACCCCCCCGCCTCCCTTCACCCCCCCTCCCTCCTGTTCACAATGCTCCCCCCACACCACCCCCCCCCCCCCCCACTCGTCCTCGAACTTAACTCGCAAACGAGCAGAAGTGAGAGGGGCCACGGGCGCCGCTGAGGTAGTTTGGCCAATTTTCCTGGCTTGGTCGCAAAAGGAAAACTGTGGTTGCGGAGAGCGCACACACACACACGTTTTCTCCTAAGCGACGATGGTTAAACCATTACATCTGGCGGAGCTGTAAATAAATAATTATGATCATTCGGAGGTTCGGGCTGAGTGGTGGCAGAGACCCGAGTTTGATGCCCAGCCAGGGCTTGATATCCCATGGCGAGTGATATGTCGGAACCATTCCCCCGAACTGACCAACGGTGGTGAAAGCATGGTCAAGCGACTCTCGTGACTGACGCGGTATGAGGAGGCCCATCATCCACAGCAGCGAATTAGCTAAGGATTGTAAGTTATGCAATAATCATGAGTTTTTGTCGATTTGTTAAGCAAAAAATGCAAAGATATTGACGACAACCCGGGTTGGGGATTCCTTCCAGACGCCCGTGTTTTGCCAGGAGCTGCTGGTCGCGTGGCAAAATCCCCTCCACTTACTCTTGAAAAGTTCCGTTTACACACGACCATCCATCTTTTTTTGCTCGTAACTCTTGATTTTGTCAACGTTCAACCATCCTGCATCCCCCCCCCCCCCTCCCGCTGGCAATATCTCCATGTGTACCCACACGCGCACACAATGCATGCCCTATATATGTTCTTCATATTCATGGAATTCGCTGAAACCATTCTCAAGCATTTTTTTGCTTTTTTCCCGTCTTTCATGAGACTCAACCGCCCCCCCCCCCCCCCGCCTCCCCCGCCCATTTGCCGCAGGTGCTAAATCTGCAAGGGCTCTTGTTTACGGTGGTATTTCTGTGGAGAAAAAATTACAGTGATTCGCTATGAAACCACATGCTGTCGCGTTGCACTCCACTCCCATGGCTCGGCTTGGCAGCAGAGACTTAAAACCGCCTTCTGTGGCAGCTCCTGAAAGCCGACAGTCTCTGTGGCTGTTTGTGTTCCGAGCGGCGGCCACACCATACCTAGGGGAAGCTTCCCACGCCTCCCATCAAAGCGGCCCTTTCTAACGCTTTAACATAAGGACTTGCGAATTTTCCAAAAAAACTCGCCTTGAATTCTCTTACCCGCCTCGAGGCTTGTACATTCCGTTATTTACTTATTTTGTCTGACGTTGCCGGCTTTGGGGGACGGCGGGAAGGGGGGGGGAGGGGTGGGGGAGCTGCTGGCGGACCGTGTGGAGGAAGCGACGGGGGGGGGGGGGGGGGGGGGGCACACGCTACGCGAATTAGGGCCACCGATTGCCTTGTCCTTGCAGCAATTACTGCCATTGCTAATTCGATTGTGTTCAAATTGTGTTGGTGCTAACTCGCACAAATGCTTGCCCTGTGTCGAGGCATTGATTATGCACTAACCTTCACCTGTTTGCTTTTTTTTCATTCCGGACATTCAATACCAAGAGCTACGTGATAAATATTAGTCCATGTTTTTTAAAAGGCGCTCCACGTTGTTCTGACGTTAGCTTCTCGGAGAATTTGAACGCGAACGGCGAAGCACATTTTGGGCGCACTTGGACCGGCGTGCCGTTGGGGGCGGTGGGAGGGCACGGCCGCGACCGATCCGCGCGGCGGTCGACCATCCGGCCCTCGAGGAAATTTGACCGCGGCCTAACCTCGCGTGGCGTCTCGCCTCGGCGCCCCGCAGGCGGGGAACTGCCGTTGGACATGAGGCTGGCGGGGCCGCGGCTCCTCGTCGACGACGGCACGAGCGCCGCGCTGCTGGGCGGCGCCGCCAGTGGCGGGGAGCCATCGGGCACCGACAACCCGGCGCTGAAGCTGTTCCTGTGCGGCGTGTGCAACGCCTTCAGCACCGACGGCCTCGAGGCGCTGGCAGCACACGCCTCGGCCGAGCGCCGCCTGCCCGAGGAGGAGTGGAAGGGCACCGCCGGCGACGGCGCCCACGCCTGCCGCCTGTGCCAGTACAGCACGCCGCTGCGCGCCAAACTTCCAGCTGCACTTGCAAGACCGACAAGCACGTGGCCAAGTACCAGCTGGTGGCGCACCTCCGCCGAGGCGGCCACGCAAACCAGTGGCGGCTCAAGTGCGCGGCGCTCGGCAGCCCCGTGCAGCTCAAGTGCAATGCCTGTGACTACTACCCAACAGCCTGGAGAAAGCTGGGGCTGCACGTGACGGGCCAGCGGCACGAGGCCAGCCTGCGCCTCTACAAGGTGAGGCCCCCGACGGCACGGGCCGGGCTTGCTTGCGTCTCGTACCGCGCACAAATCCGCGGAGTTACGCGGAACGACGGAGAGCCGGTGGCGGTGTGGGAAGCGAGTGCATGAAGCGCAGGGCTTGTCGGGGGTGGGGGGGGGGGGGGGGGGGGGAGGGGAAAAAGTCGGCGATTTATTTGTTCCGCTTCAGTCACCGTGCCGGCCGCGCGAGACACCCCCGGCTGGACGGGAATCGTACTGTTTGGTCTCGACGTTTGAAGTCGCGTCGGTCAGCACCGTTTTTTTGTGATCGGCTCCCGAGCACGCGACCGTCCCCGCGGCGGCTGTCGCTCGGCTCGCGCCGTGGCCCGGCCTGGTCGGGGGGGGAAGACGCCGGCTCGTTGCAGCCATCACAGCAGCGGTGGTCAGACACCCTGCCCGGCTGGGCGGGGTGTGGGCGTAGACGTCGGGTATAAAAAAATATATATTCTTTGAGAATAGGTTTTCCCCTTTTTTCTGACAATAAAATAGATGTTAAGATGTTAAAACACCAAATCGAAACCTTTTACAAGGAATCATGTCTGCATTAACCACAATATTTGTGGTCAGAATGCAAACAAAAAACGTACTCTGATATTCTTTACTAAATGAAATATTTTTCGTAAGTAAATTCTAATTAGTTACATTTTTTTGGAAGATCAACATCCAAAAATAAGGATGCGCACGTAAGCGTTGCACGAGCGGGTCACGTGGCAGGCTGACGCGACCAGGGGCAGGGGTGCACCGAGCGCGCCAGCCTTACCACGTGCCCTGCCAGTGGTGGCATCGCACCCTCTCGCCTTTTTGAACGTTCATTCTCTACGATCGTGGGGGCAGCAGAGACTTGCATGCCGCTCGGAAGCTGGCAACCCCTCCGTCGGTTACGCAGCTTTGGTCGGCCTGGGCCTGCGAGGGATGGAATGGTCACCTGGTTCCTCCGGCCACGCGGGCCATGGGGTGGGGGGGGAGGGCGTCTCGACGGGTGACATCCGCTGGATCTTTTCTCGAGCGAGCGTTCTTCTTCGAGGAGCAGCGCTCTCGTCGTGACGTCGTCTCGCTGCTGCCGCTGCGTCTGAGCCAGCGCGCCGTGCCACGGCGGCGTCGGTGGCATCAATTGGCCCAGTCCCCGCACAGCTCGAGACGTTTCTTGGTTTTCTGAGCCAGCGGCACACTTCAGTCGAGGGTCTTCTTTTAAAAGTATTTTCTTCATCCTCGTGGTCGGCTTTTGTTGTGTTTCTGTTGAAGTCTGGAATAGGTAAGTGGTTTCCCCCCCTCAAAAAAAGGTATCGTTCATATTTTAATATTTCAGTCAGCTGCCACAATTCCACCAGAGCTTGTCAAAGCACACTGTGGGTCGGATTGTTACGGCATAGATTTATGGAATCTTTTGTTAAATTTACTGGCTGTTTGAGTGCGAGCAGCTTTATGTGGGGCTTGTGTGCTGGTTGTTCCATAAACTCGGGGACCAACAGAACCTCTAAAAAACTGGTTATTACAAAACATAACCTAAGTGGCCGAAAGCCGCAGCCCTCTTTGGGCTTCATAAGATTACTACAGGCGATGGCGGCGGTCCAGAGATGGGGGCGGCGAAGATCGCAGCTCTGGAAAATCTGGAAAAAAACTAACCGTGCCGGAGCCGGGCACCGCGGCCGTAATGGGAGGTGTCCGCTCGCATTAGGAGGCGCGCCTCGGCAAGGACAAATGCCGCCCGCCGGCGCGAGCACGGGCGCTGCGACTTGGCCGTGCGAGTCTCCCACGAGGCACGGGCCCGAGTCGCTCCGCACCAGCCGCGAGTCCCGAGAGCTGGCGCGTGCACGTGCGCGCACGCACAGACGTACGGACGGACGCGTGTGCGGGTACGCTCGTGCGGCTTGCCGCGGGAAGACAGGTGGAGGGGCGGCAGCTTTTCTCGTTTTTTAGATGTTTTCCGCTGCAGCAAGGAGATTTTTTATCATCATTGTCACCGTCAGTCGCCAGTGCGTCCGCTGCAGTGATTGGCTTAAATCGCCACGGTGCCCATCGGGGGGAGGGGGAGAACAACAAAGGAGGATTGGGGGGGAGGGGTGGGGGGCTTTTAGGCCGAGTGGGCTCCTGGATGACGTCTTCTATGCCCTATACTACGTTAAAATATGAAAGCCTTTATGATTCCACTGCTGGATGAAGACCTCCCAAATTCCATGTTGGTCATGAAGGCTGTTTGACCGTACTTCACCACACTCGTAAGTGCTGGTTGGTGAACGGTAGCCCAGGATAATATTTGCCGCCAGCATTAATATCAGCCGGGAAAAATAACTCTGGTCACCGGGTTCACGGCGCACTTCACGAACCGCTGCACCACCCCTCGCTGGACAGAATTGCACACAACTCAATTTGCATATCGGCTCGATTTTCTCAATCTACGCCATCCAGGATTGATGGTCGCACACAGGTTCGGAGCACCGGTGAGGCGTGCGTTGCCTGTTGGGCGTGCACGCTGGCATATATCGTGGCAGTGCGAAAAACACAATCAGCCGGAATTCACCAACGCCCGCCACGTTGGGTGTTACTCCTCTCCCAGTGAGTAGACGTCCCTGTCTCAGGTGGGGGCGGGGGGTGGATGGGACGACGGGGGGGGGGGGCTGCACTGTGCGAGAAGGGAACTGGCTGGAGGGGGGGGGGGCACCGCTGTCATTTTCCGTGCAGCCTGCGCGAAGGTCGAAGTCAGTGAGGTAGGATAATTGAGCAGAGACTTTGCTGCTTTGTTGGCGGTGACCGCTGGAGCAGAATAACCCGCGCCCCCTCTGCCCTTAATGGCTTTTGCATGTTGGGGTTTAGAACCCTAATCTGATGCTCTCCTCCGCCGAGTGAGAGATGCAAATCGCGCGGTAATAACCGCAGCCTGAGTCCGCGCCTCGTCAAAAGGGCTCGTCGCGCTGCGAGCCCGGTCGCCGGGGGGGGGGGCAGGGGGATGTGGTGGGGGGCAGGGGGATGGGAGGGGGCAGGGGGATGGGGGTTGGCAGCTGGAGGAAGGGGGGGCAGCCTCCCACCGTTTTTCATTATTTAGTTGGAAAGATAATTTTAAACACGGTTATTTTTTTCTTGCGACCCGCGCTGTGAGTTTTCTCTTGTCGGTGCGAATTGAAAAACGGTATTAATTTTCGGATGTACAAAAAAAAAGCTAATTAGTTGATGGCGCGGGGGGGGGGGGGGCGTGAGCGTGTTAGTGGCCGTGCGGTTAACACTCGCTTCGCGGGAAACTGCAGCAAGCGATTAAAAAAAATGTCGCGAGAAAAAAACACGCACAGCACAGGCAGCACCGCGGCGTTCACCGACCATCCCTCCCCCACCCCCTCGGAAGCCGGCAGATCCGTCACGGGCCTGAACAAAACAAATCGCTCGCATAACCGCCCTGACGTAACAGTTCTGCGGAACTGTATGAGACCCTAAACAAAAATCCAAACAGCCGGTACATTAGATTAATTAACGAGCGACGAATTTGAATAGACGACACCGTCGCTGGTAAATCGAGAAGTCTCGCTCTGTGGGGAATGCGTCTCTTGATGGGCACGTGCTCCTCCTGGCAATTTCATTTCTTCCTCTCCCCTCTATGTGACGGCGCTCTTGAATCGGAGCGATGCTTTCCCATCTCTTTGCGCGATCACGTTCTACGCCACAGCAAAGCGGTTTTAAGTGCCCGCGAAGGCCGCATTCGCCAGCCTGCTACTCGCCGTGAGATTCTGTGGCCAGCGGGCGGGGGGTGGGGGGGGCTGGGAGGGAGCAGACAGCGTCATTATAATTGCGGGTTGTTGTGTTTTTTGGCGGAGTGAACGGGGAAGCAATTACCACAGCTCCCTGAGCATCTCTCATCCGAGATGGAGCTCAGAGCGTCGCCGATCAACGTATGATAAACCTTCTTTGGGAAATCTCTTGTTTTGTTTGCAATTGCTCTCGAGTAGCACAAACGTAGAGGCGAGTCATTTGCAAATCCGCGTTTAAAATGGGCGTAATCGCGCACGGCGTCCCTCGCGAGGTACACTGCCTGCATCGTGACAAAAATCCACGTTCGTCAACTCCGGCGCGGGTGTGCGCGGTACAGCCCGGCGGTGTGCCTTGACTTTTTTTGCGTTCGTCAAAATGCAAAGGGCGGGGGGGGGGGGTGGTCCCAATATATTTATTTTGGGTTCCGAATTGTTTACCGCGGAGGCGCGTGTGTTGGTGTGTCTTCTCGGCCACGGTCATTCCCTCCCTTCTCTTCGCTTCCGAAACGTGGACCCCCTTAATGGAACATTTTCGCCGGTTAGAAACATTTATTCATGCTGGGTTTAACCAGGCTGGATTGTGTGAGGAGCTCACAAATTCTTGAAAGATCTGGGCAAGGTCCCATCGGTGAGCTCCTCCGGTAAGCAAGGCTGGGTTGGCTGGGTCATGTAGCCCGCATGCCCAGCCACCGCATGCCGAAACAGCTTTTGTTCGGCCGGATCGAGGGGGTTAAACGGGCGCGGCACGGGCTAGAAAAGAGATGGAGTGATGTGGTACAGGAGGACGTGGAGCTGAGTAGACTTGCCGATGACTGGTACCAGTGGTGTCAAGATCGGCCTCTGTGGAGGAGGCTCGTGAAGGACGCTACTGGGCAGTTGGAGGCAGTGGCCCTCCAACAACAACGGAGGGCGGAGGAGCGATGCTCACAACAACGAGCGGAGCACCGGGTGGCTAAAGCACAGCAGATTGGCACAGCAGGTTGGCACAGTAGGGGGCACAGGTGGTGCATCAGCCAGTCATCTCAGTCAGTCGACCCGTGGAACCTGGGTCTGCCCCGTGACCTCCTACCAGCGGGCGTTCGACACTTCACGTGGCCTCAAGGTGCACATGGCCTGGCACAAACGTCTTGGTGACGTCACTGCCACTTAGTGGCGAATGGCGGTTGTTGTTGTTGTGTGTCAAGTAGGTCGTGGGGAGCGGTAGCAGTAGCGGTTAGCGCTACGCTGCACTAGGAAACCGGG